AACCKCAGATTGCCACCGTTGATTGCCGGATTGCTGTTGGCGCGTAAGATGCGTTACACACCATAAGTACGCGGGTATGTGTGTGGGTATACAAATGCGCGCATATGAGCAGCGAGTTGGCGTTGGTAAGCCGCAAAATTACAATAGTGGCAAAMAAAAAATTGTATGCATTTACAGCAATTTATCACTTGARCCTTTCTGCAAAGCATAAACACACGCACATTTGTGGGTAAGCACGAAAAAKGAAACAAAAAAGTTTGCGCTGACGAGTAAATTGTGCGCGTACCTACGCCGGCTGCCTACGAAAGTGAATGTGACGCGCAACGSCAACCATTTAAAGCTCATAAATCTCTATTATGAAATTTTTGTCTCAAAAGACGCAAAAACAAAAACAAGACCGACAAAAAACAATAAGTACAAATCAAAATAATGAAAGAATTCGGCGAGAAACACATGCACACAAGTAAACATAGCGGCGAGTAAGAGATTTTGTAAGCGCAATCACAGCCAACTCATTTGGGAATAGCAACAACAACAGCAGGAAGCTGTTTTCAAGTGGCACCTTAGACGAAAATCAACGAAATCAAATTGAAATTGCAGCAACAAACTAAATCAGTTCAATTAAAGGTTACCAAGCGACASCCGRSGCGAGTCGGAGTGMGCGGCAAAGCRCGTGGCTGAAAGCAAACTTTTAGATAAAGCAATAGAATAACGTGTTTCACTAGTGTAGCTCTGAGACAGTCGCAGCAATGAATGGCTGCCAACACCGTAGAGGCCGATTTGCTCCCGGGAATTTCAGGAATTTCGCATAGTGTAAACAACAGACAGAAATAGTGTCGTAAGAAAATAGCGAACAAATGATTGCCAAAGTCAAGCTGGCGCAGTGTTGTTGGCAAAATAAAATGTCGTCAACTTASAGGAGTTGAAATTAGAAAGATATACATAGATAGATATTTATGTATATACATATGTATTTTTAAAAAGATTAAACAAATCAAAAATTAATATTAAGAAAAAAAGTGAAGAGATCAATACAAAAACAAGAAAAAACATTAACTTGTTGGCCAAAGCCATCCAAGAAATTGATTTTTATCGGTCGGATTGTATGACAACTATATCTTATAGTAGACCGATCTGCCTAAATATTCAGATATTGTTGGGTGRCCTTGGAAAACAAYCTATGCCGMATTTCGTGAACATAACTTGAGAAATAAACAAATTTTCATATAAGAATTTGATTTTTACGGTCAGTTTGTATGGCAGCTATATCTTATGGTATACCGATCTAAGTARTATATTCGGAGATTGTTGGGTTACTTTGGAAAACACTCTATACCAACTTTCATGAAGATATTTTTTCAAATAAAAAGTTTTCATATAAAAACTTAATTTTGAACGGTCAGTTTGTATGGCAGCTATACGATATAGACGTGCGATATTGGCGTTTCCGACAAATGAGCAGCTTCTTGGGGAGAAACGGRCGTGCGCAAAATTCCAAATCGATATCACAAAAACTGAGCGATTAGTTTGCGTTTATACAGAAAACACAAAAAACATAAAAAAAAATTTAATAAATTTCCAAAAATAAAATTAATTAAAAAACAATATTTTAGAAAAAATTCACTTCAAATTGTTATTGTAGAATGATTTAAATATTAGTCTAAAAAAATTAATTAATTCAAATTTCAAAAAACAAGAAAATAAATACATACATCAGCAAAAAATACACACATATTAATTTATGTACATACATATGTATGCGCTCATTTAAAATTAAAATAAATGMATTTTAATTGCAATTATTATTATTTTAAGAACTTCATTAAGCCGCTTGTCGGCACCTCCGATGCACTGACAAAATCTATTTTTGCAACGAAGCATGGCGACGCCRCGTTGCCAGTTGTTTTTATTATGTAAAATTGTATTTATTTTTATTGCATCTCACACAGTCATGCAATGATAATGAAAAGTGCAAAAGCATACAAAATAATATGTGTATGTGTGTGTTTGTTTGCATGGAGGTACATTGCACTGTCACCATATAAAGAAACCTATGCATGCATGTACATGTATGCAAATGCCGTTTCGTGCCAAGACATGTGATAAGCTAAGCCGCTGATAGATAATGACACTAGGATACACACATCTATATATGTACATACACATAGATCTAGCTGCAAACACCGATTTATATTCATACATATGTATGGGTACATTATTTTTATACTTTCTATAGCATTTTATTACCCGTATGCAATAAACTGCTTTTGAAATAATTGTTGTTGTAGCTAAAATTAACTAAGATGCACTTGAAGTGAATGAATCTGCGTAGAAAAGCGAAATGAAAAGCTAAAGTAAGATCGCTGAGACTCAGCATGTGCATACACTAGACTCTTGACACAGACAGTCATAACTACATACATATACATATGTATGTATGTACATATATTATATGCATCGGCTTATTTGTATATAGAAAGTTTAGATGCACGCATTGTTGCATCCAAGCAAATAGAAGTTTATAGAAAGCAAGAATGGAACAAGGGACAGAGCAAACGTTTGAAATAAGTTCAAGAAACTTTTCAAACATTTCTAATTGGACCATAGTACTAAGGTCCTACTAATATAGTAGAATAGCGAAAAATTTACTCCGAAACAATTAATTCTGAACCTGCCCTAAATTTTTAACAAATATTGTATGTATGTAACAAACGAGAGAATTTTCTTATCCTCGTTCCAATAGTCGGGTCTAAGCAATCGGAACGGACCCGGTYTTTTATCTGGCCAAGGACTGTCAACTAGGCACAATTCCTCGAAATTTCTTCAGAAATGATTTCCGCAACAACAACAACAATGTAACCTCTATTTCACCTTCAGTTAAAAATAATGAAAAAAATTCATTGAGAAATACATATGTATGCATGTACATAAGAAAAATTATTTAAAAAACAATAAAAGAAATATAAGAAAAAAAATTTTAAATAAATAAATAAAGAACAAAAGTAAAAGCAAAACAAAATTATATTTAAAAAATTTAAAACAGATGGATTTCAGAAAATCAGCTATTTTAATAAAAAAAAAAGAGTAAAAGAAATATAAAAGATAATAATAAACAAATTAAAAATAAAATAATAAATTTTCATAACCCCGCTCCATTTCAACAAAATATAATTATTAGTAATAAAAAATATTATTTCATCATCAATCTGCCGAAAAACATCTCAAGCGCGCATAGTTTGGCAAATAAAAATATATTTTTATTCAATAATATGCATAAGCGCTAAGAAATTAAAGCATTAACAGTTTATGTGAAAAGTGGGGCATGATCATGTGAAAACTGGAGGCAAACTATTCGACTAGCCAACCAAAAAAACGAAACAAAAACGATAAAGTAATGGAATTTACATGCTCAAAATTGTATTTCTACGCACCAAAGCGTAAACGCGTGTCTGTCTACTCCAYATATAATATCTTTTTCAATAATAAAGTTGCAAACGATGTGCGTCTCTAGTCACACAGCCATTGCCGAACAACATACACACATACACACACACACATTATTGGCAATTTATGAGCGTRGCAAATTCGGTTGCAACAAAAATTCAAAGTTGCCCCACATTTTCTCGACGCGCCTGGCCGGCATTAGTGCCCCCACAAATGTTCGGCAAGCTAGCTGCCGCCACCGCCAACTTTTATTATTGTTGTTGTTTATAAGTGATTTTGATTGTATTTTATTTTTTTCTGTGTATGAATTAATGTTTATGTAGCGATTTTTTCACAGCTCACGCTTTTTTGTACGAAAATTAGAAATGCACAAGATGCTGGGTGCGTATTTGCCCACATACAATCATACATACATATGTGTATGTAAACATACAGACATTGATAATGAAAACAGCGAAAGTGTTTGGTTAGTTTTTTCTTTAATTTATTTCAGACCGGAACGGTGAAGTTAGCGAAATTCCAAATATTTTGGAGAAAAGCAGAGGCGAAATTTATTAATTTAATGGACGAACAATCAAGTAGTAATTCGATAAATTGTTATAAAAACAAAACATMATTTGCTAACGATTTCTGTTTTTATTTTCAATAAAAATTCTTTATTTTGTTTTAATCTGACGAAAAAAACTTTGAAAGTGACAAACTGTAGCAACCGAAACAATAGGTTGTCAAGAACAAACAAATACCAAATTGTCAAAAAAAAACGAAAAATTCCTATTTTTTCTTTTAATTATAAGCGTCGGCTCCATATTGACGATTACTCAGTGCTTTTGGCGAGTTCCTGCCCGTCATTACAGTTTTTGTGACAGCTGGTTTCCGATCGCACATCTTCATGTTGTTTTTTTTTTTCAATTGAATTCAATTACTTAAAAAACAACTGAGCATTTGGAAATGCACACATACAAGTAGATAAACTAGTCAAGATTGGAAAGAATGTCACGCTGTGCCAACACTAATGACCAATGAATCGTCAACGCCAGCTGGAGGACAAAGAATTTCGCAAAAAAAATATGACAGTCTGTATGAATATACACTTTCGGCATTTTTATGGAGATGATGGTGAAGGAAATATATAGTCATAAAGAACGCTGGCGTGTGTAAACAAAAGTAAAAGTGATAAGTGATTTTTACTTTTGTTTACACACGCCAGCGTTCTTTATTAGTGATATAAGTGACTTTCATTTTGCATATATTGAGCAAAAGTTGGGAAACATTTAGACCGCGAACGAATATTAATATTCGTTCGCGGTCTAAATGTTTCCCAACTTTTGCTCAATATATGCAAAATGAAAGTCACTTATATCACTAATAAAGAACGCTGGCGTGTGTAAACAAAAGTAAAAATCACTTATCACTTTTACTTTTGTTTACACACGCCAGCGTTCTTTATTAGTAATATAAGTGATTTTTAGTTTGCATATATTGAGCAAAAGTTGGGAAACATTTAGACCGCGAACGAATATTAATATTTTTATTTTTCGTTGTTGTTGTACCGGCAGAAAGAAGTCTTCGAATTATCTACAGGCAAGCTATCAAGATTATAATCCTAGCATGAATTAAAGTCCGGGATTTAGTTAACGAAGCTCCGTCTGCTGTTGGAACGAATATTAATATCATAGCTGCTAAGATCCCGGAATTGGCACGAATTTTATGCGGCCAAGGAACATTGTTTCTAACAGTGAGTTACATTTATGGTCAGCCAATATGCGGTATACTCGTGCAGCTCTTTTACTTCTTACGTATAAACTTTTAAACTTTTTATTCTTACCATTCTTACTGCTTATTTTAGCAGTATGCCTGAAAGCGAAGATTTTTGATAAAGGATAGTAATCAAATATAAAAACCTTTAAGGAGACTCAAAAGATTCAAAGTAAATAGCTGGTAAAATACGGAAGCGAAACAAGCACAGGAGAAGTTGCTAGCAAAACGAGAGTAGCAATGTAGTTACTTCACTGCACAACTGGTCGCATTTTCATGGACTTCCTTCAACTGGAACGACGTGAATTTGTTCAAAATGTTATAGGTGGGCACAAAGTGTACATATGTATGTTTATGAAGTATTTCGCGTAAATAAATATAAACATCTTAGTCCGCATAGAAAATGATGTGCAATAAAACGATAAAAATACATTGTATGTTTATTAACGCACTTGTATATTCTCGCCTTTATATATGARTTCAGCTGTGTGAAAAGGTGGAAGATGAGGGAATAGAAGCAAAAGCCTGTGCATCAAAGCAAAGAGGAAAAAGTGCAGCTGCTACGGTACCCCAGCCAACTAGGCTTGACCATAAAACTGATGCGTTGCCAAATATCTGTTGGGATGCACTTTACRAAACAGTTTTGTTATCAACATTTCGTACACATAAACAGTACTACAAAACAACAACGTTTTGAAATACCAAACTGCAGGATTCCGAGATTATGGTCAAAGTAGTTAATCATTAAATGCTCTCTGCGAATTTCACAGCAATCTATGTATGAGCTATGGCACTTATAATAATAAATGGTGTCGAAGAAAACTGTTGTAAAACCCCTGCGAATGAACGATAAGAAAATGCAAAGGAAAGCAGCAGAAAAAGAAACTGCTGGAGTAAAGTAGCTGCAGCGTCGTGGACGCCGCCACCACTTCCACAATTTACGAAGAAACAACGGCATCCACGACAAAGTAGACAAATAGAACGGGAAATTAAGCTACGGAATGGGTCAACAAACATTTTTGTAAATTATTTGTTTAGATTACGATATATGTGGTAAGAAATAAAAACAATTACGTTTTCTTGCTTAATCCATTGCTTTGCACTCCAATTTGCAGCAATCGTCTAGGAAATTTTTGCTTTTCTTTAATTTTTATTCGTAATTTTCTTTATAGCTTTTCTTCACAGCACTTGTAACTTTACTTGTATTGGTTACTTGCATTTTTTGTGCAATCTTTTACTATTTTCGTCACTATTGTATGTTAAGTATATACTTTGCTTATAAACTTATTGCACTTTATCAAATTCACTATGCATACTTATAAATCGCACTTGTTTATATTTGCTCTGTTGTTATTTTTGGGTAATGCCCAGCCAACTTGTCTGTACATTTCACCGAATAATTGCCGAAACCGAAACGATTGCGAATCTCACTAATGCAACATCACGTACGGACTAAAAAAACGGACTGAAAGCAGAAAATTACAAATTCCAAGAAGAAGCGGAATAGAAAACTTTTGCCAATTGGATAAGTCAAACAGTTGGCAACGCCACTAGTGCATTAAAGATGCCAGCTCATGTAAAATATTTATAGAAATTAAGAAATCATTTATTTTAATATTGTGTAAAGCTAAATATGTAGATAAAGCGTACGTATTCTTTTGTTTGACTTTTTAATTACGTTAATTTAATTTTTATTAAAATTCGTTTATCAAATTATAGATTGCTAAACAGATTTCTTATTTAAATGTTAGTTGGTAAAGTTTTCGTACTGTACTTTGAAAAGCAAATTTAATAATGCTTCCTATTCATAATTTACTTTGTATAAGAAAATATGTGGTAAGTTTTCTAATATTCATTGTTTTAAACTATAAACAATTTWAAAAAATGTTCAATAAATATATAGACAACCTATGTCAAGAAGAGTGTATAAAATTGTTTACGTATATGTAAATTTCAAGTTATTGATACAAGTTTTTTCGTTTGCCSAAGATCGATCAATACATTATTCGCAATTGTTACTTAAACTTACGCAAAAGTTTACTTAATTCACCAAGAAACTTATACTCAATTAATACAAGACTTGAAGGAATTAACATCTAATGTTAAAACCAATTTTATAACTTGTTAATGAAATTCAATTTCACAATCGTACTTTGTAACAATATATATTTAACTATTGTTTCTTCTTAATATATTTCATATATTTCTTTGCATTGAAGGTATCTTCAACTTCCTCCATAATCTTGACCTTCTTCCGTGGCTTACGTGCTTCYAACCGTGCTTTCCGCTCAGCTTCGCTTAAGGTACTAAGGTCCAATGGCAACTATTATTGCAAAATGAAAAGATGTTATAAATAATTTACATTCGCTTTGTATTAAATAAGTTTATTCTCACCTTGATTATTTTCCTTGGCTCGTGGTAGCGTATGTTAATTGTGGAACCATCAGGCTGCACAACCACRGTAGGATACATGCGGCAATACACAGAGCGATGTAGTCGCGTTACAGCGGCGGACGCGGATGAAATACAACGCATCTGTTGCTGACCTTTATTTATTAAATGTTTTAGAAGCATTTTTGTTATTATCTAATCCGATTTTTATACAAATATGCCTCACAAAGTAAATCTATAACAAAAACTCTTCTGCTTTTGGAAACAGCTGGTTGTTCACTCGCCAATGATAATAAAAAGTAACGAATTAGAGATGGGCGATTGTCCACAATCGTACTCGTACTGGATGTGACAAAAGTTTGTTATAATGGGAAAAGAAAAAAACATATTTTTTAAATAAAAAACATAAACGTTTGAAGAATTTTAGAAGATTCTCAACAATGGCCTTTGATAAAAAACTACTTCCAAATAGTGTTTCTTGAGCAACCATGTATGTATGTATTTCGAACTCGTTGCTTTAAAGTCGCTGTTCGGCACAAAACGTTGAAAATTGACGTTCGTTGTCATCCGATTGAGCTGTCAARTTGGTGAGTGCGGAAAATTGGTTAGTTAATTTACACAATAATTTAATTTTCTGGATTTTTAAGTGGTAAAATACTATATATAGTTTTTTAAAATCAAAATTATTGATGTCCTAACAGATAAATAACTAGTGGAAATTATACAACTTTTGGTTTTTACAAAATAAAGTCGATATTTTTGCACAAAGAAATTACATAATTATTAGTGCCAAGTTATGACGTTAAATAATGCAGTATTTTTATACAATCTAACACCACGTTATAATAAAATCGTCAAGAAAAGCTATTGTTTATTAAAAATGATTTGTATTATTATTGATGAAACCCATTTTTCTTTTTGCAGAAATCCCTTACTATTGAAATGGCTTCACGTCGTATTGCACAGACTTCTGTCAACTGGGCCGCTCTGGCTGAGCGTGTGCCTGCTAACCAAAAGGCTAACTTCGGTGCTTTCAAAACCAAGTCAGACGCTTACTTGCGTAGTGTTTTGGCTAATCCCGAAAATCCACCACAAATCAATTGGGCTCACTACAAACAATTGATCCCAGTCGCTGGTATGGTTGACACGTTCCAGAAACAATATGAAGCACTCAAAGTGCCATACCCAGTTGATAATGTAACCCCACAAGTGGAAGCTGAAATCAAGGATACCAAGAGCGAAATCGAAAGCTTCAAGAAGGGTTCCCAAGCACGCATTGCTCAGTACCAGCAAAGCATTGATCACTTGAAACAAATGTTGCCATACGACCAAATGACTATGGAAGACTACCGTGATTCATTCCCTGAACAAGCTTTGGATCCTATTAACCGCCCAACATTCTGGCCTCATGATGCTGAGGAACAACGTGACAACAAAGATAGAGCACACGCTGAACATTAAATGTTGTTATGAATAGTCTAAGCATGAAAGCATTGTTCACAGCGATTTAAACGAAAAGTTGTAATTTGCAAATACAACCTTATAAATGTAAAAACTCAATACCACAAGTTTTGTTTCAATAAATTAGTTTAAAACAAATTCTTATTTTTTACAATATACCACTTGACAGTAAGTAGACTTTAAACATGTCGATACATAAACAAATGGTTGCAAACTTATAACTTAGCTGTACCATATCATATACTTTGTTAAAAAAACAACCAATTTACTTTATGCTGTTTTTGTTTTAMACTTTAGGTCAAAATTTTGTAGAAATTGAGCGCTGTACATTTTTTGTTAACTGCGTTGAATTAAATTCACTTGCTGATCTTCAATCAAATTCTCAAGCATGGGAAGCAGAGTTGCAACTATTTGTTAATACATATTTATTTATTTTTTTCTTGGTAACTTTATATATATGTTTTTCAATTTAAGTAGAAAATATGAATATACGTTATAATTAATATTTTAAATAAAATAAAAAATAATGTAGGCATAATTTGTAAACAAAATAACTCGATTTTGAAGAACTGTAGGTACTGGATAACCCCAATCGTTTGTATACAACCCTGTTGATGGCGACATCGTTGACTACTCGTCAATCGTAATTTTGTTGTGGCCAAGTGTGGTTCCACGAATAAGTCAGAGTGCAATTCGTTTTTTTACAAGTAAATTGTGGAATTTTCTTTTWTATTTTCATTTAATTCGATCGAGCAATTTAAGTTTAAAAATATAAGCGCGTTTGGCTATTCAAATGGAAAGACCACGGCGGGTATTACTCGAAACATGTGCGGATTTACATTTTTAAATGTAATCTTAGCATACAAAAGTGCATAATTTTGTAAATTTGATGGTGGAAAGTGACGTGAAATTTTCCATGTAAGCATATTGAAAAAGTTTCACTGCAAATAAAGTATTCCTACAAAAAAAGTTGTTTTGCTAAAAGTGCATATGCAAATTTGGCAATTTTTAKTAAAATATGTGTGTGTAGGGCGGAATCTGTGCGTACAAGTACAAAGTTGAAGTGTGAATATCGTATAAAATTATGTGGTAGCGGATGTTTTTGTTATGTCGTATGAACTGCAACGAATAACAAAAGAAGGCCACAGAAAAGTAATAGTAACACCGTTCTTATTGCCTATACGATAGCGTGTTCGTACATATAAATATTTAATAATTCAAAATATATAGCGGGAATAGTGAAAATCAGTGTATTTTACATTCTACGCTTCATTGCGTCATTCCTGTCTGGCAGTGTTTCTTTGTTTTGCTTTTGTTCCTCAAGCGGGTGCGTCTATGCCTTGTGGATGCATGCCTATATCTAGTTCATTGTGTACATATGCATTTTTCGTATTTCATTGTGTACTTCCATCCGGGCGCTGTTTAACATTTCCTTTTAATTTTTCGTTTTGTTGGCTGTCAACGTAGCCTCGAGAAAATTTGTTGTTGCAGTTTGGCCATCTGTGCAAGTGCAAAACATACGTCAGTGCGCCTGGCCGAAGGACGACGCCTTTTTCAACAATAAAAAGTCCCTAACAAATTTTGTCAAGATAAAGCATAACGCGAGGAAAAAATAAATAAACAGTGTATGGTGTCAGTGAKTGGAGTAGTCGAAGCAAAAATAAAATCAAAGAATCATAAAAACAACCATATTAGCCGCCAGCAAACCATCAACGAAGATCGCAGTAAAGGCATAAAATGGACACATTTCGAAAGTGGCTGAACAAACCAAAGGTAGGCAGATATAAAAATATAAACAAAGCAAAAACAAGTATATATTGCAAAATGGTTTTAAAAAAAGTCAAACTTAGGTTTTGTATGAATTCAGGTTTTTTAATGAATAGCTCTAMTATGTTGCTCTGCTTATGTTATACCAAAATGTCATTAACTCTTAGTTAATTAAAAGAAAACGGATATCCACTGTAAATAAAAATAAGTAATCAAAACATGTATAGTGTGTGTAATTCTTGAATTTAAAGCTTACTAAGTTCAAAATTTTAAGCATTTATTGAAGTTTGTCGTTTCATCCACGTGTTATGGCAATTGTTTTTCCGAATTTAAGAAATTTTTCGAAAATCAATTTCACTTTAAAGAACAATGTATAACGGTGTGCCACTTTAAAGCAACTGACGACACTTTTTCTTTATTAATATCTACTTATTTAGGAAGAGAGAGTTTCTTCCTCATTCCATTCTGTGATTCCGCTTGGTTGCTGCGCATACCATGCGGTCTGAACATTAACAACAATTCACCGCAAACAAGCAGCAACGTCAAAGTAACTGTTGCAGGCACAACTCATTAGCAACATCTTTTTCTGATCTCTTCAGTTTTTCTGTTGCTTCTGTCACGCTTATTACTTCTGGTTTTACTATTGCCTCTTCCTCACCAGCTAATTCCGAATAATGGCATTTCATCGTTTATCTGCTACCAATGTGGATACCTACAACTTACTAATATACGAATGTACTTACATATGCATTCATTCACATTGCTTTCGACTGATATATTTGTATGTATTTATGTGTATATTTTGATTTTTGTATATTTTCTTTGTTTGCCTGTGTTGCTCTTCACTTGATTGCAAGAAGCCTTCAATTCTTCAAGATTGGCCGATCGCATGCAACAATTTAGCACACACTAACTGGGCCTYATTCGAAGCCGGATATGAAGAATTTGCTCGTAGCTGTTAACTGGCTATGWACTGCAAATATAGATTTGTCGGTATGTTGTGTTGCTTGCTTCTTGCCACATKTTTGCCATGTTGCGTGTGCTTGGTCGGCAATATTTGGCCAACTTTCAGCARATATGATGTAAATTCGCATGGAAAGTTGTCTGGAGGTTGTTTATTTTTAGCACGAGACTAGATTATTTCGTTAGTGTGTAATTTTACTGAAAACCATATAATTTTTTAAAAGGTAAAAATTAATTTTATTTCAATTTAAAAGAATATTATTATTTAATATTTTGTATATTTATAGTTCTTGGTATTTTAAATTCAGGAAGTGTGCTGAAATGTGTCACAGTTTTCAAGATTAAAAARCAGAACAGTGGTCACAATCGCCGACATCGGTTTATTAGTTGCCATACAAACTAAACGAGAAAGATTAAGTTTCTAAGGCTATAAGTGATCTAAGAAGAAATATCCCGGATTGGATCACTATTTTATATAGCTGTTATACAAACAGATTGTTCAAAACTAGGTTTTTGCATGCAATWTCYTTATTTGTGATGTGCATTGTGTCTTCGGTGCAACGGTAGTTAACATTTTTTCTTTTAGTTCCATTTGAGTTTTTCTCAAGTGAAATGTGCGAAAGTAAAAGTCTCAAAATTGCTATAAATGCACAAACCTCATAACTATATGTATTTATGTCTGTATGTTAAAGAAAGTCTTTCGAAATCAATTGACACTATTTGATTGCCAACTTTTCTTACACGCTCGCCGCTACGCTTGATTTTCACTCTTTTTGGCGAAAAGACRCGCAAGCTGGTGGCAATGCAATCCCACGCCGTCTGCCACAGCTGCTTTCAAATTTGCCAAAAAGGAAACGYACACACATACAAACAAACAATACACAGGTAATATGCGGCAAAAATTAATCACTKCACATACAAATGTTATTATTTAAAGCCGGTGAAAGGAAAAAATGCCGCGAAACATGRTTGAAATAATGCAYAGTATRTGTGAAGTAAAAGCTGCAGAAAGTTTTGGGTTTCTACGAAACTGTCGAAATTATGGGTGCTGATGGATTCTGTGCTGTCAAAATACTAGTGGTTGTGTACTTGACGTTCCAGTGCCGGAACTTGTTTATATTCATGCACAGATGCTTTAATAATGTTTGTACATCGGTATCTGTGGTTATAAATCACATTTTGTTTTCTCCAACGCTTTAATTTTCACACTTGGGTTTTTTATTTCTACG